TTTTTTACCAATGATAGGATGCTCGGAGACGTCAACCCAAGCCGACGCCAATATGCACTCCTCCTCCGGCGTCCACTTTTGGATTGACCGTGCCGCCTCGGTCAACGTGCTTTTGGCTTTGTGGCTCCTCCGGCGTGTACTTTTTTTCGATCCGGACGGTTCCGGTTGAGTCTCCGGAACCGAATCTCGGTCGACGTACCCCGATTGTTGCGTCTCGTACATCGGCAGTCGATCGCCCAACTCTTGGTAATACCACATCGCGGCTCGACGGGCACGAGATTGTCGGGAAAGAAGCCGGAGCCGGAAAGATTCATGTTGAAAATTGGGAGGGGGTAATTTCAAAATTATGGGAAGAAAATTGAAGAAGAGTGAAGAAAGAAGATGTGAGAGATTGGGAGGGGGGTTTGAATTTATAAGAATTTTTTTTTGAATTGGGGGTGCAACGGCTATATAGCCGTTAAGGGGGGAGGGGAATGGAATGACGCAGCGTCATTCCTTTGACGCACGCCCGATCACGCCCGGAGGGGGGCGGTGTTTCACGCCCCCGGGGCGTTAAACGCCCGTTCACGCCGGCGGGCGTGAAGCCCATTTCCAGTGCTCTAAGTATGTTAAAAAGTCCCATAAATCAGAACATTCTTTAAAAAGTGTTACTCCCTCCGTCTCCAATTTAATTACAAATTGGGATTTATGAGGAGAAATATCTCACTTTTTGGAATTATTTTATTTACAAATTGATACTCCGTATATCGATAAGGAATAAAAATTACATATTAAAAAATTACGTCAAAGATTCTACAAAACAAGAGGTGATAAGAATATTTTATTTTATCAAATGCACAATGAAATCGCGTAAACAAATAAAAATTATTGAGAACAGACAGAAAAAATTGTAATTAAATTGGGGACTATGGGAGTATTTGGAGTGGATGAATGGTGGGTGACTTGATTCCCACATATCACCCCACTTCAGCCCAAACCAAAACTTTTTCCTTGTCTCCAACAGGTGAACTTACCCAACTCAAAATCTTTATTGCCTCTCAAGAAGGAATCAATAGTAAAGTGGGATAACGCTCAATTGAGGGCATTGTCTGTTCAACTAATTCGATTGATCGATTTTGATTTTATTTGATTAAATTTTGATTTGAATGGAGTTATATTGAAAGTTGTTTCTGATCTAATCTTATTCCCATAAAAATAAGTAGTTAATAAAAAGAATAAACTAAAGAAAATCTTTAGTTCCCAAGTTTCCCCAAAGTGGCTATTCTATAGCCTTTTCAAACAACGTTTCGAGGACTATAAAAGCCACTACCTACAGGAAACTAAATCAAAACAAATTTCATACAACCATGCTAGGATACACCAAAAAGTGTACCTCAAGTTGTACCCCAAAGAAATGCACCGATATTTTAATAGTTCACACTTACACAAAAGGTTAGTTTACTTAAAAAAGTTGCTCTGACATTTTTTGTCAATGTAAAACTATCACACTAGCACAAAATATCGATGCATGACTTTGGATACAAAATGAGGTATAAGTTTTAGTGTACAAATAACTTAATCCAATTTCATATATCCACTCCAAAGTAGAGTTTGAAAAATTAAAGGACAAAAATGGGTGCACCAATCATTTGAAGATTAAAGTGTCAAGAGGGTATACCCTCGAGACTAAAAGTGTCATTTTCCCACCAAATATTACACCAAATAAAAGAAAAGAATTTCCTTCTATTTGAAGAATCATTTCCTAGACCAATTAACTTTGGTTTTCTAAAATGTTTTAAGATTAGTCTCTCAAATACTTTCAATATAGGGACTAGAAAATGACCAGATCTTGCCCTGCCCGATAGAAAAGTGAGGATAAGTCACAATATAATCTTATCCTTATTATATATGTAAAGTTGAGTGTAATGGTTGTAGTGTTGACATGTGGCATGCCACATGTGCATCCACATGTGCACTAATTATGAGATGGAGGTATTTTATTGGTTCATTAAGCTTCTTAAGAATCCACATGTGCACTAATTATGAGATGGAGTATATTTTATTATATTATATTAAATGAAGACTATGTTTTAGCATGAATAAACATAACTTTGATTATATTTTGTATAAAACTTTTATTTTCTAATGATTCAATAAATATATATTTCACTATTGTAAAATATACTCTGTATTTTAAATATGCATATTGATTGCAAAATTTTATAAAAGAGAATGTATAAGACTCTCTATTATTAATTTAAAAATACTTCACTTTCAAAAAATGAAAAAACATTTTACCTTCAAAGATATTAAATTGTTTTTGGTATTTTTATGTNACTTTGATTATATTTTGTATAAAACTTTTATTTTCTAATGATTCAATAAATATATATTTCACTATTGTAAAATATACTCTGTATTTTAAATATGCATATTGATTGCAAAATTTTATAAAAGAGAATGTATAAGACTCTCTATTATTAATTTAAAAATACTTCACTTTCAAAAAATGAAAAAACATTTTACCTTCAAAGATATTAAATTGTTTTTGGTATTTTTATGTTTAATTTAATGTCATTTTTTAAATAAAATATAATTATAGAACTTTTAGTGCATGTATATCAATATTTAAAGTATATTTTTTATAAAAAAAATACTCCATGTATTTTAGAGTGAAAAATATTCATTTAAAATAAATAAATTTATATTTATAGAATGTCAAAAGTTTAGAATGCATACAAGCCCGTGCGAAGCACGGGGTTAACACTAGTTATTGTTATTTGAGAGACATCTCGTGTCCGGTGCACACAGGAAATAATCACATTGGATAAAACTTTTACACTTTCGGGACCAAAAATCGTTCATGAGATCCTGAACTTAACGCTTCTCTCTCAAGATCGTCTAAGCTACCCGTGCGAGCCTCTTAGTCTCATTTGAAAGTTAGATGCCGTTTTTAGTTTTCTCATTAGAAAGTTTAGACTCTTTTCCACTTTTCAATTTATATCACATCAAATCAATATTTCACGCCATAAATTACACCACCACCTTTTTTTCTACTTTTTATTACTTCGGGACTCACCGTGTAAGTTTTCAACTAATATTCCATTTTATTCTTTAGTCACATCAAGGGTCACCATTCTTTATATTAAACTCCGTGATTTTCTCTTAGGTAACCATCTTAGAGATTTTTTTCTTCGAATATAAATGATGAATAAGTATAACTTCACAAGTTAACAATTAATAGAGGTAAATAGGTGATTTAATCGAAAGATAAAATGAAAAAGGAAAAAAGAAATTTTTTGTGGGACAAGGAGAGTATTGTAAAAAGACTCAAAGGCTCCCATATACTCTTTCCTTTTAAATCCCCTTTTTTACCCCGAGAGAGAGAGAGAGAGAAACCCACCTTTTTAGTTGCCAACTTGACCTAAAAGCCAAAACTATAAAGAACCTAGCTAACTGATGCATTTGCCTTGTTTCTGTTTCACCATAGTGATAGCTAATTATAGCCTGCACTGTTTCTAATGTTTCTAATTCAGAAATGAGAGTATAAGAAAGGATCTATTATGACAATAAATGATGTGACAGAGAATATATATACCACTATTGAAAAGTCCAAAGTATCAGAACATTCTCAAAAGGTTTGACATTCTTAAAAAACAGTGTTATTTGGAAGTGGATGAATGGTGGTGGGTGACTTGGATTCCCACATATCACCCCACATCACCCCATACAAAACTTTTTCCTTGTCTCCAACTTGTGAACTTCCCTAACCAAAATCTCTCTGCCCTCTCAAGAAGAAATCAATCAAGTGAAGAAGTAAATAGGAATCAATATGTCACTGCAAAGCAAATTATAGGAATCCAACATAAAGAATGAGACATTTTCTTAAATTTTGAAAGGAATTTTCACCCTAATTCATATACTTAGGATAAACATTCAAGAAGAGGTGAATTTATTTCTCAAATTTAATAAGAAGAATGTGGTGAATGTGTATATAAGGCACACAATATACAAGCAATGCTCATAACAAATGTACAGTTGCAGGAGAGCACTACTCACCAGTGTTTTCTATTCTTACTTTGCTTCTCTGGAACGAAGCGAATGCACCAAAAAAATCAATTAGAAGAATTCGGCACCAATCGTTCCTTTATAATCTGCTCCAATGAATGTGCCAAATATGACATATCAGGCCGTGAACTGGGATCTTCCCTCAGAGAGAGCTCTATTATGTCTGCGAGTTTAAGTAGGGGTTCAACGTTTCTTGGAAGATCTACATAGCGATCAAAGATCGTGGCTGCTTTCCCTTGTTTTAAATAAGGCAATGCCCATTCAACTATGCCGGGAGGCACACATTCCCTGTCATAAGCCTTCCTTCCGCTAAGAATCTCAAGCATCACAATCCCAAAGCTGTACACATCCGCTTTCGTGTCTCCACTCTGTCCCATCTCACTATGTGTTACCAATCCGAAATCTGCAATCCGGGCACCCCATTCGGCATCCAAAAGGATATTTGAACTCTTCACGTCGTGGTGAACAATGGGTGGTGTGACTTCTTTGTGAAGGTACTCAAGACCCTTTGCTGCCTGCATTGCAATCTTCAGCCTAAGGCTCCAATTCAAAGGAGAGAGATCTCCGTGGAGGTGGTCATGGAGAGTCCCATGAGGCATGTACTCATAAACAAGAATCCTTTCTCCCATCTCTACACAATAACCTAACAGATTGACGATATTGGCATGGCGTACATTGCAGAGGATCTCTAACTCCACTTCGAATTCCCGGGTATTGGTGTGTATTATTGTAGCAGCATTGGCTCTCTTCACTGCCACTTGTCTCCCATCTGGAAGAATGGCTTTGTAGACAAAGCCATAGCTTCCTCTTCCAAGCTCATTGAACTCCTTGAACCCATTAGTGGCATCTTTGAGTTCTGAAAGCCTGAAAACTTGGGCTGTCCCCGGACAGGTTGGGATCCGAGAGAGAAGATGATGATCGGTGTTGGCATCAGTTTCTTGCTCAGCTCCCCATTTCCCATTGCCTTCTTGATTGCTCGTGGAGTTTAAACGGGATATTAAACAGAAAGAGATTAAGACGAACAGAAAGCCCGCGGCAGAAGACCCAACAGCGAGAATTAGATAATGGAAATGGAGGCGGCGGTTGTGTATCTCATGTGGGGAAGAAGAAGATTGAAGGCTGCAGACATCCCAGCATGAGCTGTTCTGGCAGAGAGAACAAGGGGTGCAAACTCTATCTGCATTTTCAGTGCAGGGGCTAGAAGGAAAAAAACCTTGAGAACAGTTGAGGCCACAAGGGGAACAAATCCTAAGGTCACTCCTAACACACAGGCTAGTCAAATCTGGCTCATTGAGAAGGCTGGCATTGAAAGAAAACCTCCCTTCACCGCACGAATCAGGAGTGCATAAGCCTGGGCTGCACAGCTGCAATGGAGGATCATAATCAAACTGTGATGACACGTTCGCGAACCAGCAATCAAGAACAAGATCACTTTCCCTTATCCCACAAGTTACGAAATCAGATGAGGCAATTGCAAGAAAACCAGATCCTCTTGGGATCAATGATGAGTTATACTTCCCCCAGCACTCAATCCCATGATCGTCTTCTCGGATCCCACAGAAGTGCAGATCTCCTGCTGCCAACGACACAAAGGGGATTCCAACCGGAACAATGCCATAAGATTCATTAGCACCCCAGCATTTCAGCCTCTTGGACACTTCAGAAACTCCACAAAGAGAATCTATACCTGAAGTTAAAGAATAAAAATTCTCTGAAACACCTGAAAGTCCTAAATTATCGGATTTCGGACCCCAACAGGCTATCCCTCCTTCCCTGACACTGCCACAACTGAATCCATCCCCAGAGACAAGATCTTTCAAAACAAGGGTACTAATATACTGATTGTTAAACAGAGTACTCTGCCTTGAGGTAAGGGTACTGCTGTTCGGTTTTTGAATAATGTCCCAGCAATCGATGGAGCCAGATTCACTTCCTGAATAATAAAGGCTCCTGATCGCACAAACATGGCTTTTCCCAGCAGCAATATGGGAATAAGAATTGGACTGAAAGCACGAAGGAACAAGATCAGAACTAGGCGACCCGGCGGAGTCCCAGCAGTATGCCCGCGAGTTGTTTGCGAGTATGCCGCAGAGAAATCCGCCGCCGCCTGTTAGAGCAGCCATGGGGGGAAGATCGATGGGGAAGCTAGATGGTGTTCCTGGGGTAGAGAGGTTGGTCCTTTTGCCCCAACAAATGACCTGCTGCTTCCCGCTGGCATCAATGGCGCAGAAGAAGCCATTGGCACCGAAAGAAGCAGAGATGGGGCCCATCGAGCCGAACCCGGAAGCTGATTTGAGCAAGGAAATGAGGCAGATGAAGGTAAGACGGAAAAACATAACCGCCAAAGAAGAAGGAGAAGAAGAAGAGGAAAAAATGGTGTTCTGCAGAGGTGTGGGTACGATGTCGGCGTAGCCATTAGAAGGCTTCTCAGGTGCAGAGTTATAAGTAGGAAGAAAGTCATTTTGTCGATTCACCTCCACCGCGTGCTGTTGAAATCCCCAAACTTTACTGCATGCTAAAAGCCATTCAACAATGCACCGCATTAAAGTCTCAAGACTTGTTCACCACATGCTCATGCTGCACCCTGCAACACACACTTGCGCATGTCAGGTTGCTATCCCTCGTCCAGTTTTTATTTTATTTCATACTCCAACTTGTTTTTACCTATTTTCATTACTTACAAAATAATATAGTTTCGTCACATCTTATTTTATAAAATTTTTGATGTAGTTTTTAAATATATAATTTTTATTTTTTATTTTTTATTTCTACGATCAAATAAATTAAATTGAAAATAAAGTTGGTCAAACCTCGTAAATCGAAAGAGGAAGAACATTTTAGGACGGATGGAGTAATAAAAACAGAAATCACCCTAAATAGGACTAAAACATAGAGAAAAGTACCAAAATAGGACTTTTATGTTTTTTTCTCCGAAATAAGACTTTGCACTGTGGTAATGTGACTTTGCACTGTGGTAATGTGACAGTGCACATGTGCACATTACTATACGTTTTTGGTAATGTATATGACCATGTTTGGTAATGTAAGTCCTATTTCGGGAATAAAAACATGGAAGTCATATTTTGATATATTTTCAATGTTTTAGTTCTACTTTGGTCTTTCTCCCGTCTAGAATTGTTTACTGGATTCGAGATAATAAAAAGGTAAAACCACACAAACTAACCGGGAAGACTGCAGGTGGAAACACATGTAGCTCAGTTGTTATTATGAATATAGTAGAGTGCATGGGAACTTTTACACAATGATTCTAGTGAGAAGAAATCGGATCCCTTCCTTTGAGGGTTACACAGGTATTTATAGTGAGCTAGGGGAGTTAAGGTGCCGCACATCCACGTCAGGGCACGTTCCTGGGTGGTGCGAGGTGATTGCCTCGGTCCTCTAGTGGTCTTGTCATCTAGTTAGGAAGGTGACTTCCTTGTCACGTAGTGCTTTGGACGGATCGCTCGAATATCTTTAATGATTCTTCGTTGAACTTGGCCGCTACAGTCCAATTTCCTTCAGATTCTTCATTACCGACACTTCCCAATCATAGAAATCATACTGGGTAGGTTCCCAAGGGATGGGTTAATTGAAATTGGGGATTAATGAATGAGTAAAATAGGTTGACTGGTAGACTTTCTGAAGAGCACCAGTCAAATTTTTGATCAACCTATTACCCTCTTACTGTTGTTTTAGACTTCTGTAGAATTTTTGCGTAAAACTGATCTGCCTTTTCATTAATCACAAACCGATATATATACAAGTACATAAATGGGCTAACAAGCACAGGCCCAATAACACAATATCTATGGTTAATTACAAATATCCGCTAACACTCCCCCTCAAGTTGGTGCATGAAGATCTCGAATGCCCAACTTGAACAGTAAGAAATCAAAGACAGGTTTGGATAATGATTTAGTAAAAATGTCGGCCAACTGATAACGCGTAGGGACATAGCGTGTAGACACCTCATGGCGCTGAACAGATTCACGAACCGTATGACAATCGACGTCAATATGCTTCATTCGTTCGTGGAACACTGGATTTGCAGCAATATATAAAGCTGATTGATTATCACAATATAAACGCGGAGGATATAGAATGGGGACACCTAATGCGCCCAAAATGCCATGCATCCAGCGTATCTCAACACACGCGTTGGCCATGGCCCTATATTCAGCTTCTGCAGAAGATCGCGCCACGGTAGTCTGTTTCTTCGTCTTCCATGACACCGGGGAAGTGCCCAACATAATGAAATATCCGCTAACGGACCGTCGAGAGAGAGGGCAACTAGCCCAGTCAGAGTCACAGTAAGCAGTAATCTGAAGATTACTAGTAGCACTCAGAAAAATTCCCTGACCCGGGTGCCCTTTGATA